AAAGCGAAAAATTGGAATTTTCTTGGGGAAGTTATGGAGAATCGACAAACAAAAAAAACTGGAGGACCAGACCAACGAGCATCTTCTGCCCGAATAACCAAGATCAATAACTCGAAGACCATGAGCAAACAGTAATTGTTGGTTGTTACGCGAGCGCACGCAATGCAGCCTCCCCCCCCCCCCCCGCCTATGCGTTACGGGTCGAAGAGGGCGTGTGCATGAGCCGGGGCGGGGCCCCCCGCCCGTGTGCTTATGCAAGATAAAGGGCAAATCCAGAACGATACGCTGGATGAGACATGTAAAATATGGTAATTATCCCACCACGCCCCCACCTGCTGAGATGTTGGCGGCGAGATAGTGGAGGGAACAGAGAGGTAAGGGAGATGGTCCCGCGGCAACACCTGCGGTTCCACGCCGCTTGCCCGAGGCAGGCAAGGTGGTTGATGCCGTGACGGTTTGCACCTCATTACAGGCGGTCGGCATCAAAGGGACGGAATGAGTGACATTTTTGGAATCTCATTAATTTGCCGCAGCAGCTCTAAATGGGCTGCGGGACGAGATCGATCTTATCGCGTGTTTGAAAATTACCCGCGCAAAATTCATCAGTGGTTTGGCGGCTGGGGTAAGAACCCTTGGGATTTGTGAGATTTGGAAGTTTGTGGCGAGATTTGTCTGGTGCTTTTTACTTACTACTCAAGACTGCCCGGAAGTTCCGCAGGAAGCCAAATCTGCCAAAGTTCCGCGGATGTTGGTTTATAGTACCAATGAAATGTCAAGAACGAAGAAGTTCCACGGAAACTTGGCGAAACCCGAAAGTTCACACATATGTATCTAAGTAGTATATATTAGGTTGCCCGAAAGTTTTGTCGGTTTCTTTCATCGCTCACTAAAACCCACAGAACACCAATATGTGGATGATCTGGGTATCACTTGATTCATATTTTTATCCTCTTTCTTACAGCTATATTTGCTTTCTGATCTACTCTGTCTTTGCAATGTTATCGTCACGGCTTTTCGAGCAGCTTTGCAGTATTGTCAAACCCTTCCTGAGTTTTGAAAATTTTTATTTTGATATTTTTAAAGAGCGCTGGTAGCTGTTATGTAAAGCAAACCTTTGGCTACATCGTGTATATTTTGGATTACGTGGAGTGCGTTTAACAAGTCCGTAATAATAATTTATTTAAGAAAAACCAAGGCATTTTGATTACGTTTGACACGTAAAAATACCAGAAAATCCAAAAAGTAATTTTCCAAAGCAGATCAAACTTGAATAGGTTGCATAAATAGTGTTTATTAACAAACAAGTATCAATTCGCAGAAATTTTAAAAGCTTCCATGTTTTTGCTGCAGTTGCGTGTTTCATGACCTTGCCAAAAATCGAGACTTTGGAAGAAACGATTTTTTTAGAGCTAAAAACAGCAGGTTAGGAGAATCTAAAAACAATACCATGTAGTCCGAGATTGCTTTATCTGTTCCATACTTAAATGTTTCCATAACTATGAAATGAAATTTGTGAAAATTAGTCGAACTTTAAGCAGATAAAAATGATGGGTGAAAAACTAACAGAAAAAGAATGCAGGATTATGGCTAGAAAATGTAACCATAAGAAAGAGAAGGGAAAGCTGCATCGAATGCATGTTTAAACTCATTCAGTTCTTTATTGTGCGTGGTTTTATAGCGATTTGAAAAAATCGACAAAACTTTCGGGACAACCTAATGTATAGCAAATATGAGACTTGCACCTTACAAAATAATAATGCAACAAGTCAAATATAAATGTCCTTGAACTTTTTTGAAAAAATAAAAAAGTCGTACCCTCTGCCCAATGTTTCCAATATACAGTCTGCTTTCCAAAGGTTTTTTAACTCATTCCCATATCAAACAAGCTTATACACACATCTCCGCTCCCCCCCCCCCTTCCCATCTCGGAAAAATTATGCACCATCATGGAATCACTGTGTATTAAACTTCAATTTTTACTTCATTAGTCGAGACGATCCGTAAAACTCGTAGTTTAAAATTCGTGCTAAACTTTATCAGAAAGATGAAAAATTACTATCTGTAAGCTGTATGAAGAAATTTCGGAGAAATTCGCCACCGTTGCTGCTATTTTCCAATCCTGACATGACAGTAAACTCTCGAAGCTACTCACACTCAATACCATACCAACTGAATATTTCTCAAAATTATTCATTTTTACTCCGCCCCCCTCCTCCAAGTCAAAACTAGGGCGTTTATGGCGCAGGGATAATATATATCTGCAAGTCTGTAGTTTCTTGGAACTATAAAGTGACAATTTTTTGCCTCTACAGCACCTAATTCCTTCTACCCCCCCCCCCTTGGTTTTTTTCCCTCCCATAGAGCTATGACAGAGCAAAAATCCAATTTCTATGCAACATTTGGCGACAAGTGTGTGTCATAGCGTATTTTCGTGCACAAAGCATAGTTATGTTCAATCACACTCTTACCATGCGCTGGTTAGTCATCAAAACCTGGGTAAACATCTTTGTCAGACCGCTGTACGAATGAATGATGGCCATAAAAAGGGTAACATTCATGTACATAAATAGTTTTGGCATTCAGGAACAGTTAGTTCACAAAAAGGGGGAATTCCTGGGAAGAAGTTTTGGTTAAGTCAACCTAAATTAGATAATTAGGTAAATTAGGTAAACATTTACCTTGGGTACGCTACTCTCAAAACCAAACGTACCATCCCTTGGTACTGATCTTATCACTTTCCACAACTCGCATAGGTCGTTTAGCGCAACAAAAACGACTTGAAGACAATTTACGAGCTGTTTTGCGATAAGACGACCCAGTAAATGACACAGTAACCAGTTCGTTGCGCTACGTCTGCAGATGCACACAAACGCAACAAAAGATCGGCATGGGATATGGTCTTAATAGCCCAACCCTCAACACCCCCCGTCTAACCAACGGGTATAGCTCTTTCCAAGCTTTCCACATAAGAGATCATGGAACAGTGGCGACGTCAAGCAAAGAAGAAAAAAGACGAGCCGCTTAGTCCCCGGGGACATCCGTCGACAATTTTGAGTGACGAGGACAATGAGGTGAGAATGAGGTGGCAGTGATGAACTCAGACAGGAAATTAGCGTAAAGAGTGAGTTATTGATAGAATTGTTTTGTTCGGGGGATGGAGATAGGATAAAAAAAATTTGTGGGATGAGGGGAGAGTGAGGATAGGAGTTCTACATAATTTTGTGAAAAATGACCACTGGAGAATGAAATTCGCAATATAAAATTTTCAAATAACACGTCCAAAGTCGTCTCGAAAAAGAAACAGAGCACAGTAGAATTTTTCTGCGCGACTCGCGGCAAATTTTTGTACGATTTCCGCGAAAATTCCGGGTAAGTTGCTCTCATTTACAACTTATTCAAAGTATCTCAAAAGATATGAAGCTAATTGTGATGTTGATTCATTTTTCGATTGTGCATTTGAGGATAAATATCTCAACTATAAATGGTTGTCCAACTAATGCTATGGCGCGACTCGCGGAAACATTTTGCGCAAAATTCCGCCAAAATTCCGAAAATTTTACGCAGTAATTGTGGTAGAGATTGAATCACGCCATTGCAAATATTGTAATAGTAAAAAGAAAGTTTATGAAAAGATTGACAAGACTCTGAGTGGTGAGAAGGAGAGGGTGAGCTGGGAGAAGAAGGAATCAAATTTTTAATTAAGTCACTTCTACAAGCGGCTGTTAGGCTGACTGACTGTGACTAAAATTTCTTCTACAGCTATTTCTTGTTGTTCAGATCACTATTCTTCTACTACTCCAATTTATCAAAAGTTTTTATAAAGGGAAAGACCTTCAAAGAAATTTTTTTAGCGGGTGCCCATAAGCGATCACAGAACAAACGACAGCGTTGCCGAAACAATAGATAAGACAGACGCATTGATTTACCGTCAAACTTCTCTTCCGGAAGTAGATTGTAAAAAATTTTTAGCGCAAGTTCGGCTCGTGGGAACGGAAAATCATGTGAGGGTGACTTGGAAGAAGTAAACACTTTCGCAGGAAAAAATAATTATTTTCAGGTCTCTTATTACCTTTTATAAGATTTATAGTATCAAAAAAATAAAAAAAATTGTTAACAAAAGCCAACTTTGAGCTTCCAAAACAGCAAAAAAAGTTTTTCAAAAATTTATGTATGGAAATGATAGAATAAAGTGTTGAAAACTTCAGAAGATAAGCTGTGGAACATGCACGCTAAGGGACAATGTTTTAGTCGCGTTAGTTTATTGTTGTACAAATCCGAGAGGAAAAAAAAAAACTATAAACAAGCACCAAACACATTTTTTGCAAATTTCGAAAGAACAAAATCTAGCTCGGTATTTCTCTAAAGTTTTTCTTTTTTGCTGATACAATAAGTTTGAGGACGAGTGGCGTAGTGGTATGAGGCGCCGCTATGACCAGATCGGACACAGGTACGATCCCCGCCCCTGGGCCAACCAAGCCCTCTACCCTCCGGGGCCGGTAAATTGGTACCAGAGTAATCTGGGAGGATAAAAGCACTGACTTGGTAACGGCTGGCCCCCGCAAGTCACTGTAATAGGCTCGCACGCATACAATTGCCTCTTCGACTATGAAGTTAGTGTGTGCGTTCGGCGCATGCCCTCAGAGGGTATTGGCGTCTTCAATACCCTCTGAGGGCATGCGAATCCTTTATCCTTTATCCTTTTAATACAATAAGTTTTGGTAAAATTTCACCTGCAGAAATAGTTTTCTCTGTTGAAATTCAAAAAGTTTATTTCTAACGCAGGTAATGCACAAGTTGCCCTTGTCTTCGCAAGCCGTCTGCGTCTCCTCTCTCCACGTGCTCTCTCCTCGAGTCAAGTGCACGTAGCCGCGTCGCTGGCAGCGAACGCGGTATGTGCAATTACACGCAGTAACATGTTATAGCTTGGGAAATACTTGTTGAAACAGGTTAAAATGGAGTTTTTCCATTCTAATCGACTAGTATGGTCATTTCTATGTCCACATGTCCGCAATGATGTCGATATCTATCCTAGTCGCTATTCTAACGTGTGGTGCGCCGACTTCTTAGATTTCTTGGAGCTTTTACAATGGTAAAATCGACACTTTTCAGTTGGAGCCGAACTTTGTCAAATACACAATGCGAATGACTTAACAAACGCAAAGGTTTGTACGGAATTGGAGCTCTACGCCAATGATGAAGTCATGAAAAGTCCGCTACTATTTGATGTGAGTTTGGCAGAAGCAATAAATTCCTAATTTGTGTGAAAAAGAAAACATGGTTTTCCAGAAAATCAGAATGGCAACCACATATCGGCATTTCGAGTTGAATGGCACAAAGCTGGAAAAGATCAGTGAAGCAAGGGAAGTTCTGCTACCGAAAGGTGTGCAATATTGCGTATTTCTAAAGCCATGATTACAGATAGTTTCTAAACGCCAGGCATACTTCACGCGATTTGGCAATATTCCAACTGTCTATATAACTCATTGTAAGCACATTTCAAATGTAAAGAAGATAGGGCATTTCATCAATCCGCGTAAGCTATACACACTATGCTTGTACACTTTGCTGGTGTTGGACAAGACTTCTGGCGAATTGCCAATCGCGTCGCGACTGTAATCGCGCGAAGTATGCCCGACCCTTAACAAAAACTGGAGAGCAGTGCAACGTGAAAGTTGATTGTAGAATGAAAGCTTGGTTATTGTAGACCATTTGAAATCAAGCTAAGAAATTCAGAAACACTTTAGACTTGAAAATCTTTACTCTGAACCTTCTAGGTGCCACTGTGACAATATTGGACAATGCGAATCTTCAAGAATTGCCTAAATTCAATATCGTTGATGCTAATGCCATCAAACTGTCAGTCATTGGAAATCCCAAATTAGATACGAGGCAGCTGCTTATGGAATGTGAGAAGAAGCGTTGCAGTCAGGATACGTTAAACAGCATTCAAGTACCATATTGTAAGTTCTGAGACGTTTAGAAGAGAAAGGGGCGGGCGGGGAGCCATTTCCTGCAAAGAATAACTCTTTTTTTATAGCTTGCCGAGCCATTGCGCCATTGCCAGCTACCTGTCGTATCGTATTTGGCACAATTCCATTACATTTACATCACTATTCATGGGGCACCATTGAAATCCTTTACGGGACAATTACCCTGGAGAATTCTCAGCTAAAACGAGCCCCAAAGCTTGAAATGCTCGAGCAGGTCATACAGCTAAAGAATACGCCGGTGCTGGTGGTGAAGAACAACTCAAAGCTGGAAGAGATCGACTCGCTGCTCGATTTGAACTACGTCATCATCGATAACCAGACGGGTCCCGTACAGATTGAGAAAAACCCGAATCTGTGTATAGGTGTGAACCATGCTGACAATCTGTTCGTGAAGCGGTACATGAAAAATGTGGACCCATGCATTTATGGACGTAAAATGGTCGAAGTTTCAGAAAATAGGAAAGCTCGAGGTTAATTTGTAGTTTATACTTATAGAGATTTCTTAGTTACTTACGTAGTTTTTATAATTTTGATTTTTTAGGTAATTTACAGCATTATTAATATTTATTAGGTTGGCACATAACTAATGCAACTTTTTATATAACTTTTGTCTATTTGAACGTAGCGCATTCATTCTTTGGCAATATAAGAAATATGATGTAAGCTTCTAATGCACACATTTTTGGCCGAATTTTACCATCTTATGTGAGGATTACGGTAGGTTTACGGTACTATGGGAAAAATTTTAGAATGCATCAAATTCTGCTGAAACTTGGCCTATAGAGCTTATTTGACATGCTGATCACAAAAATGAGATCCGTTTCGCATGAAAAGGCCTCGTTCGTGAGATCAAAAGATGAATTTCATTTTTGCGACAAATGAATATGATATTCGTGTTTACCGCATAGGATTACCCTATGGTGCAAAGTTATAGCGAATGCTGATTTTTCGCAGCTTAGTTATTGGCAAATTGCCTTCAAAACTTGACGCATTTGACTTGTTCAGCTTCTCAAAGGCGGCCCACCTTAATTTGTGTTTAAATTTCAATTCTTTTTCGCTGATTCCAATGTGCCAACTTCCAGCTACATGCTGGCTATAATTGCTTTTTCATATGTTTGAATCAGGTTTCGTAGGGCTTCATGTTTGCCAAAAAATCGTGAAACCTCGATTTTCAGCAGTTTTCAAAAAACGCTTAGATTTTTTGTACTAAGTTATCAAAAATCAAGCGGTTTGCGCAGACTTCCAGTTTACATCACTATCTACATGATGCCACAAATTGAGATTGCTACATAAAATAGGAAAAAAGTTACGGGAAAAGTTGCAAAACTTATGTGCCAACCTAATATTTGAAGCTGTTGAAGATTAAAAGCTTAGTAAAAATTTAATCTAGCAAAATCGACAATCAATATAAAGTTCTTGCACTGCCGACAACGTTTGCGCGTGAATAAGGCCATGGCGCGCAAAACTTGAAAATGCGCGCTCCATGACGCACGCGCAGTTGTTGTCATTACCGCAAGTACACCAAGTACACTTGTGAGCATCATAACTAGAAGACATAATATTTAGTGTTAAAGCTATAGTATAAATTATCAGACGTTTGAATTTGTGCGAAAATAAATTTTCTTCGAGCAGGATATCTATATGTTTTTTGTGCAATCACGGCATTGCTACATGTAAATTTGTGCCCTTTAAGAATGCTCGCTGATCAAAAGAAGATCTTTGAGTCTACATTCAAGAAAAAAAGCTATTCTTTTTTCTAGGTATTACTGTAAGGTTATGATAGGCTTACGGTAAGATTTCAAAAAGGAATTCTAATGCTGTAACTGAAAATATTATTCGATTTTTGATTCAGTTTCCGATTTAAGAGTTAAATCCTGCACAGCGGGTGTTTTGCAAATCTAAATTATTCACAGATTTTTCTCAAGCGTTTCTTTATAGGCGCTCAGGCAGCATACAAAGAGCGAGTTCTTTCCAATTAAATTTTTCAGAGAGGTCAAAAGGGGGATCTTACTATTTGGACGTTTATGATCAAATTACAATATAACTTGTTTACAGTATAAACTGTATATTTTGAAAGTTGTAAGCGATTCATCGCACGCAGCGAGAAAACACCGCTGCGGAACTGTCTGCGTCTTCAAGACTAAACGCACTAGAACCGTCTGTTGTCTCTCGCAAAACGCACTATCTCAGTCGGACGCAATGGCGCCCAGTCTTTGCGTGCGATGAATTGTCTATAGATTTTATTTACTGCAAATAATGTTGAAGTCAGTGATCTAATAATTTACAGAATTGATTTTCGTTTAAATTTCTCACGTTTTCATGAGATATTTTCAAATTTATCGTTTGTAGAGTTACAAGAAGGTAATGTAGAACCATCTACTGGCTATGAATATGAAACAGCTTCTGACTATGAAGGTGATTATGAGAATACACGAACAACAGAGCCAGAACCGATAGAGATCACCAGCAACGGCGCACCGCCCGCACCACCAGCAGTGAATTTTCTCACAACTGAAGGGGATAAGAACCCCGAAATGACGACGGTAGATCAAAATATGACAAGGATATCAGCAAGTGAGGTTCCGAGAGTGGAATCAAGTGAATCGCTTGTTGTTATTACAAAAACGGAGATTGATGGAACGACAGAATCTGTAACGTCATCGACAACGAAAAAACAAGGTGGTCTGAAAGGATTTATCGAGAAAATTCTACCAAAATCAGGAAGCGAAGAGACATACCTTTTCTCTAGTATTTTCCTGCTGTCTATTGGCATTGTATAAAATTTTGTAAATAAATATTTGCTTTCTTAAGTTTACCAGAAAAATACACATTTCCCTCCTGTACATGAAAGTAAGCTAATTCGTCCTTGAAAGCTTTTCAAAAGTACATTGTGAAAGGCTGCTGCGCCTATGACGCAAAAATGCGGCCGTTATTTTCGCAGACGTAGTGGTGCGCATTTTTGCCCACCAAACACAAAGAAAATTTTGGCGGGGGGGGGGAGAGAGAATCCATTCCAACTATTCATGAATATTTCCAGAAGAAACTGCAAGCCTTGATGGAATCTAATGGGATGCGTATTTTGCGAGAAAAGCAGTACAGATTGTTTTTGTGCAATTGCACAGAATAGACTAGATTATCAAATTTAACGTCACAAGTAATCTGGTAGATTTCACAATTGATTGTGGTTTTGCGTTGCCGACAACAATTGCGCGTAAATGATTGCATGCGTATTACTGCCATTTTAAGCGCAGCTCACAAGCAAGTCGTTGGCATTCAAAAGCATTCATTTATTCCCGCGCAAATGTTTCTTCATCGCAGAAGCACTATCTGACAGTCCTGTCTGCTAGCCTATTCGAATCTCAAAATTCATTATCGAAGCGGTAGAAGACAAAACTAGGAAATTCTTCGAAACACTTGGAGTGTGGAAAAATAAAATATTGAATGTTTCTTAAAGAGTCAGAAATTAAGATATTGAATATTCGACATTGAAGAGTGTAGAAAAATAAAATATCAAATATTCAAAAGAAATTATAATTAGAAAATTGAAAACATATCACTGGAGTCTGCGACTAAAAATAGGAATTTTTTTAGAAGGTACCGTTACAGATCCAAAATCTAATCTACTCAAGTTCAACGATTCAGCTCTTTACCAAAACTCACCAAAATTCTCCACGAAAAAAAATGGCAGCAACTTTGTTTACCAAGAAAATAAAGTTCAGACTGAGCCAAACAGCAGTAGAAAGGCTTCATAAGCTCTTAAAAAGTTTTGATATTTTATGATGAAAGCAAAAGTCATTTCGAATTTTTTTTATTTTCGCAAATATTTACGTGGATTTTCATAAAAACTGGGATGATACCTGTACTTCTAGAGAAGTTAAGAAAATTGTTACAATCCAGACAATCCAATCAAATTAATCGTCAAGAAAGAATGGCACATCCTTACAGAAGGGCAAACACATTATAAAAGCTCACGATTCGACTGCAACAAATGCGCATCACACCTTACTACATTACTACTTTTTAAGGTAAAAGGGAGTGGTTTCAGCGAATCGGAAACGAGCGAGAAAATTTTCCTTGAAGAAAAAAGTAGTGTACTCAGTACTACTACTAAGACTACTCAAAAATTACCCGGAAGTTCCGTAGGGAAAAGTAGATTTGCCGAAGTTCCGAAGGAGCTTACTAATATTGTAGAAAAGTAGAAGTTCCAAAAACGGGACGTATGTGCACCAAAACCCTCTACATAAATATGAAAATGGTATACACAGCAAATTTGCAACATGTCAATAATACTGCCCTTGAATTTTGTTGAAAAAAGATTCAATATCATGATCTAGGGCGTTTTTTCCAGCAGGCAGTACGCTTTCCAAAGGTTTTCTAACTCACTTCCATATCAAATAAGCATTCACACATCTCTGCTCCCCTCCCCCCCCCCCCCTCTCTGAAAAATATATACCATTGGAGTTCACTGTATATTACATTTCAATGTTTACTTTATAAGTCGAGATAAACCCTAAAGCTCATAAAAATTCGAAACTGCTCTCCACAAGCTCTATAAAAATTTTCGAAAAAGTTCCACCGTTGCCGCTATTTCCCGACCCTGTCATGTAAACTTTCAAAACTACTCGTACTCATGTTCATACCAACTAAATATTTCTTAAAATTATAAATTTTTTTCTCCGCCCTCCTCCTCCATCCCCCAATCAAAACCAGGGCCCTTATGGCGCAGAGATGAGCTGCAAGTGTTTACGTAGTTATTTGAAACCACTAAGTATTCGACAATTTTTGCCTACACGGCACCTAATCCCTCACCCCTTCCCTCTCTCCCCATCCTCCCCCCCCCCCCCCGGTTATTTTTCCCTTTCCATAGAGTTAGACAGAGCAAAAATTCAATTTCTATGCAACATTTGGCGGCAAGTGTGTGTCACAGCATATTTTTTGCACAAAGCACAGTTATGTTCAATCACACTCTAATCATGCGCTGGTTAGTCATCAAAACCTGGGTAAACATCATGTCAGACCGCTGTACGAATGAATGATGGCCATAAAAAAGGTAACATTCATGTACATAAATAGTTTTGGCATTTGGGGAGCGTTAGATGGCAAAAATTGTGGAAAACCAGAGTAAAATTTTGCTAGAATGATCTACCAAAGGTTAGCTAGTTTACCCTGGGTAAGCTACGCTCAAAACCAAACGTACCATCCCTTGGCACTGATCTTATCACTTTCCATGGCTCGCATAGGTCGTTTAGCGCAACAAAAATGACTCGAAGACAATTTACGAACTGTTTTGCGATAAGACGACCAAGTAAATGACACACTAACCAGTTCGTTCGCTGCGTCTGCAAATGCACACAAACGCAGCAAAAGATCTGTATGAAAAGATATGGCCTTGATAGCTCAACCCTCAACATCCCAGTATAACCAACGGGTAAAACTTTTCCAAGCTTTCCATAAGAGATCACTGAACAATGGCGACGTCAAGGAAAGAAGCAAAAAGACGAGCCGCTTGGTCCCCGGGGACATCCGTCGACAATTTTGAGTGACGAGGACAATGAGGTGAGAATGAGGTGACGGTGATGACCTCAGAAAGAAAATTAGCGTAAAGAGTGAGTTATTGATGGAGCTGTTCTGTTCGGGGGGATGGGGGGGGGGGACATTTGGAAAGGTATACACGAAAAATAGAGAAAAGGATGATTTCATTTGATTTTATGGTAAAGTACTGATGAAAATTGAATTTGCATTGAAAACCCGTTTCAAATATGCCTGTCCGGAAAACATGAGAATAGTAGGACTGCAATCCGCTAGCGCGACTCGCGACAACTTTTTGCGCGACTTCTGCCAAAATCCCGAGAAAGTTACGTCCTATTTGTGACTTTTTCAAGTATCATAAAAGACGTGAAGCTGAATTGGATGATGATTTATTTTTGATCCTGCATTTCCAAAAATCTCAATTATAGAACTACGATTGTTGTCCAGCAAAAATATGCACGACAATAATGCTATGACGCGACTCGCGGAAACACTCTGCGCAGCTTTCGCCAAAATTTCGAAAATTTTGTACAGTAATAGTGGTACAGATTAAATCATTGTTCCCAGAAATTGTAATAGTAAAAAGAAAGTTTAGAAACAAATGCAAGATTGACAAGATTTAAGGTGGTGAGAAGGAGGGGGGGAGGGGTAAAGTAGGAGGAAAGGGAATCAAATTTTCAAAAATAAATTTTTCAGAGCAACACAGAGCTCTACAACGGCTGTTAGGCTGACTGTGAACATCTTCCATACAATTTTTTTGGCTCCAGCTCACTATTCTTCTGCTACTGCAATTTATCAAAAGTTTTTATAAAGGGAAAGAAAACCTTCAAAGAAATTTTTTCAGCGGATGCCCATAAGCGATCACAGAACGAACGACAGCGTTACCGAAACAATAGATAAGACAGACGCATTGATTTATTGTCAAACTTCGCTTCCGGAAGTAGGTTGTAAAGAATTTATTGTGCAAGTTTTCCGTGGTAATGGACAAAGGTGAAGTTGATTTTGATGAAGTGAACTTTCGAAAATAGCAAATAAGTCCTTTAAAAAATTATAAAAGTGAAATAGTAGAATAAAATGTTGAAGACTTCAGAAAATAAGCTATGGAACATGCACGCTAGGAGACAATGTTTTAGTCGCGATAGTTTATTGTTGTACAAATCCGAGAAATAAAAAACTGTAAACAAGCACCAAACACATTTTTTGCAAATTTCGAAAAAACAAAATCTAACTCGACATTTCTCAAAAAGTTTTCAATATTTTTAACACAGCAAGTCCTGTGAAAGGTCCTCTGCTACAAAAATAATTATTCTGTCAAAATCAAAAAAAAAATCAGTTCCAACGCAGATAATGCACAAGTTGCCCTTGTCTTCGCAAGCCGTCTGCGTCTCCTCTCTCCACGTGCTCTCTCTTCGACTCAAGAGCACGTAGCCGCGTCGCAAGCAGCGAAAGCGGTACGTGCAATTACACACGATAACATGTTATTTCTTGGAAAAAACTTGTTGAAACAGGTTAAAATGAAGATTTACCATTTTAGTTAGCTAGTATGGTCATTTCTATGTCCACATGTCCGCAATGATGTCGATATCTATCCTAGTCGCTATTCTAACGTGTGGTACGTCTATCAACTACTCAGCATGGTCCGAACTAAGGAAGTCGGAAATTTTAGGTGCAGCTGAACTTTGTCAGATACGCAATGCGAATGACTTAACAAACGCAAAAGTTTGTACGGAATTGGAGCTCTACGCCAATGATGAAGTCATGAAAAGTCCGCTACTATTTGATGTGAGTTTGGCAGAACTACAGCCTGCATAACTCAAGCAAAAAAAGGCAAGAATTATGAATCTTACAGAAAATCAAAATGGCAACCACATATCGGCATTTCGAGTTAAATGGCACGGAGCTGGAAAAGATCAGTGAAGCAACGGAAGTTCTGCTACCGAAAGGTGTGCAATTTTGCGTATTACTAAAACCATAATTACAGATAGTTTCGAAAGGCCAGGCATACTTCACGCGATTTGGCAATATTCCAACTGTCTATATAACTCATTGTAGGCACATTTCAAATGTACAGAAGATAGGGCAATTCATCAATCCACGTAAGCTATATACACTATGCTTGTACACTTTGCTGGTGTTGGATCTGAAGACTTCTGGCGAATTGCCAATCGCGTCGCGACTGAAACCGCGCGAAGTATGCCCGACCCTTAACAGAAACTGGAGAACAGTGCAACGTGAAAGTTGATTGTAGAAAGAAAGCTTGATTGCTGTAGGCCATTTGAAATCAAGCTAAAAAATCTTTACTCTGAACCTTCTAGGTGCCACTGTGACAATAGTGGACAATGGTAATCTTCAAGAACTGCCTAAATTCAATATCGTTGACGCTAATGCCATCAAACTGTCAGTCATTGGAAATCCCAAATTAGATACGAGGCAGCTGCTTATGGAATGTGAGAAGAAGCATTGCAGTCAGGATACGTTAAACAGCATTCAAGTACCATATTGTAAGTTTTGAGACTTTGCTAGAAGAGAAAGGGGCGGGCGGGGAGCCATTCCCTGCAAAGAATAACTCTTTTTTCATAGCTTGCCGAGCCATTGCGCCATTGCCAACGAGCTGTCGTATCGTATTTGGCACAATTCCACTGCATTTACATCACTATTCATGGGGCACCATTGAAACCCTTTACGGGACAATTACCCTGGAGAATTCTCAGCTAAAACGAGCCCCTAAGCTTGAAATGCTCGAGCAGGTCATACAGCTAAAGAATACGCCGGTGCTGGTGGTGAAGAATAACTCAAGACTGGAAGAGATCGACTCATTGCTCGATTTGAACTACATCATCATCGATAATCAGACGGGTCCTGTACAGATTGAGAAAAACCCGAATCTGTGTATAGACTTGAATCACGCTGACAATCTGTTCGTGAAGCGGTACATGAAAAATGTGGACCCATGCATTTATGGACGTAAAATGGTCGAAGTTCCAGAAAATAGGAAAGCTCGAGGTTAATTTTAGTTTATACTCATAGGGATTTCCTAGTTACTTGATTTCGTAGTTTTTATAGTTTTGATTTTTTAGGTAATTTACAGCATTATTAATATTTACTCCTATTGAAGATTAAAAGCTTAGTAAAAGTTTAGTCTAGCAAAATCGACAACCAATATAAAGTTCTTGCACTGCCGATAACGTTTGCTCGTGAATAATGGCCATGGCGCGCAAAACTTGAGAAAGCGCGCTCCATGACCACTTTTTGCGCGAAACTGTTGTCATTACCGCAAGTACACCAAGTGCACTTGTGACCGTCATAGCTACTAACTATAATATTCAGCGTTGAAGCTATAGGATAAACTACCAAATTTCTAAATTTGTGTGGAAATAAATTTCCTCCGAGCAGAGAACCTTTATGATTTTTTGTGCAATCACGGCACTGCTACACGTTAATGCGCCCTTTAAGAGTGCTCGCTGACTGAAAGAAGATCTTTAAGCCTAAATTTAAGAAAAAGAGCTATGTTTTGTTTCTATGTATTACTGTAAGGCTATGATAGGGCTTACGGCGGAGTTTCGAAAAGGATTTCTAATGCTGTGACTGAAAATATTATTCAATTTTTGATTTAATTTCTGATTTAAGAGTTAAATCTTGCACAGCGGGTGTTTTGCAAATCTAAATTTTATTCACAGATTTTTTCTCAAGCTTTTCTTAAAAGGCGCTTAGGCAGGATTTTGAAGCGACTCTTATGATTTTTCCAGAGAGGTCAAGAATGGAATCTTACTGTTGAATCTTGCAGTAGAAACTGTATATTTTGAAAGTTATAGGTGATTCATTGCACGCAGAGACAGGGAATGCCGCTGCGGAATTGTCTGCGTCTCTGAGACCAGATGCGCTTTTAACGAACCGTCTGTTGTCTCTCGCAAAACGCACTATCTCAGTCGGCTGCAATGGCGCTCAGTCTTTGCGTAGGATGAATTGTCTATAGATTTTATTTACTGCAAATAATGGTGAAATTAGTTTAATAATTTAAAGAATTGCTTTTGATTTTTAGATTTTTTGATATTTATTTAAAAAGCTTTTATATTCATCCATTTGCAGGATTACAAGAAAGTGGTGTAGAATCATCTAAAGACTATGAAGATTATGCAATAATAACATCAGCATCACCTGTGGATAAAGAGGCAACCTATGAGAATACAGAACCAGGAGCACCAACATTCGATCCTCCACAAGAGGAACCAACAGAGGGAAACCATGAGAGTACGGCACCACGAGGACCTGATGGACCTGATGGACATGAAACAGATGTGGGAGATAGGAACGCCGAAATGACCACTGTAGATCAAAATATGACAACGATATCAGGAAATGAGATTCCTAGAGTGGAATCAAGTGAATCACTTGGAACGACGGAATCTGTAACAACATCAACAAAACTAGGTGGTCTGAAAGGATTTATCCAGAAAATTCTACCAAAATCAGGAAACCAAGCGATACACCTTTTCTCTAGTATTTTCCTGCTGTCTATTGGCATTGTCTGAAATTTTACAAATAAATATTTTGCTTTCTCAACGCATGCTAGTTTAGCAGAGAAACACATATTTCACTCCTGTACATGAAAGCAAGCTAATCGTCCTTGAAGGTTTTTCAAAAGTACATTGTGAAAGGCTGCTGCGCCTATGACGCAAAAATGCGCCCGTTTTTTTCGCAGACATAGTGGCGCGCATTTTTGCCCACCACACACAAAGTGCATTTAGGGGGGGGAGGGGGGAGGGGGGAGGAGGGGAGGAATATCCAATCCAACTCATTCATTAATATTTCCAGGAGAGACTGCAAGCCTTGATGGAATCTAATGGGATGCGTATTTTACGCGAAAAGCAGTACAGATTGTTTTTGTGCAATTGCACAGAATAGACTAGATCATCAAATACAACGTCACAAGTAGTCTGGTAGATTTCACAATTGATTATGGTTTTGCGTTGCCGACAAAAATTGCGCGTTAATAATTGCATGCGTATTACTGCCATTTTACGCGCAACTCACAAGCAAGTCGTTGGCATTGAAAAACATTCATTTATTCCAGCGCATATGTTGTCTTCATCGCAGAAGCAGTATCTGACAGTCCTGTCTGCTATCCTATTCGAATTTCAAAATTCATTATCGAAGCGGTAGAAGACAAAACTAGGAAATTCCTCGAAACACTTGGAGTGTAGAAAAATAAAATATTGAATATTTCTTGAAGAGTGCAGAAAAATAAGATATTGAATATTCGACATTGAAGAGTGTAGAAAAATGAAATATTAGATATTCAAAAGAAATTATAGATGAAAAATTGAAAACATATCACTGGATGCGACTAAAAATAGGAATTTTTCTAGAAGGTCCAGTTACTGATCCAAAATCTAATCCGCCCAAGTTCAACAATTCAGCTCTTTACCAAAACTCACCAAAATTCTCCACGAAATCAAAAATGGCAGCAACTTTGTTTACCAAAAAAATAAAGTTCAAATTGAGCCAAACAGCAGTAGAAAGGCTTTATAAGCTCTTAAAAAGTTTTGATATTCCATGGAAATAAAAGCAAAAGTTATTTCAAATTTTTTGATTTTTGCAAATATTTTGCAGTGAGTTTTCATAAAAACTGAGATGATACCTGTACTTCTAGAGAAGTTAGGGATTGTTACAATCCAGACAATCCAATCAAATTAATCGTCAAGAAAGAATGGCACATCCTCACAGAAGGGCAAACACTTATGAAAGCTCATGATTTGACTGCAACAAATGCGCATCACACTTTACTACATTACTACTTTATAAAGTAAACGGTTGTGGTTCCAGTGAATTGGAAACGAGCAAGAAAGTTTCCCTCGAAAAAAAAGTAGTGTACTGAGTTCTACTACTAGTACTACTCAAAAATTACCCGGAAGTTCCGCAGTGAAAAGTAGATTTGCCGAAGTTCCGAAGGAGTTTACTAATATTGTAGAAAAGTAGAAGTTCCGAAAACAGGACGCATGTGCACCAAACCCCCCCCCCCACATAAATATGAAAATGGTATACACAGCAAATTTGCAACATGTCAATAATACTGCCCCTGAATTGTGTTAGAAAAAAATTCAACATCATGATCTAGAGCGTTTTTTCCAGCAGGCAGTACGCTTTCCAAAGGTTTTCTAACTCACTTCCATATCAAATAAGCATTCACACATCTCTGCTCTCCTCCCCCCCCCCCCCCTCTGAAAAATATATACCATTGGAGTTCACTGTATATTACATTTCAATGTTTACTCCATAAGTCGAGATAAACCCTAAAGCTCATAAAAATTCGAAACTGCTCTCCACAAGCTCTATAAAAATTTTCGAAAAAGTTCCATCGTTGCCGCTATTTTCCGACCCTGACATGTAAACTTTCAAAACTACTCGCACTCATGTCCATACCAACTGAATATTTTTTAAAATTATAAATTTTTTTCTCCGCCCTCCTCCTCAATCCCCCAATCAAAACCAGGGCCCTTATGGCGCAGAGATGAGCTGCAAGTGTTTACGTAGTTATTTGAAACCACAAAGTATTCGACAATTTTTGCCTCTACGGCACCTAATTCCTTACCCCGTTCCTCTCTCCCCATCCTCCCCCCCCCCGGTTATTTCCCTTTCCATAGAGTTAGACAGAGCAAAAATCCAATTTCTATGCAACACTTGGCGGCAAGTGTGTGTCACAGCATATTTTTTGCACAAAGCACAGTTATGTTCAATCACACTCTAACCATGCGCTGGTTAGTCATCAAAACCTGGGTAAACATCTTGTCAGACCGCTGTACGAATGAATGATGGCCATAAAAAAGGTAACATTCATGTACATAAATAGTTTTGGCATTTGGGGAGCGTTAGATGGCAAAAATTGTGGAAAACCAGAGTAAAATTTTGCTAGAATAATCTATCAAAGGTTAGCTAGTTTACCCTGGGTAAGCTACGCTCAAAACCAAACGTACCATCCCTTGGCACTGATCTTATCACTTTCCATGGCTCGCATAGGTCGTTTAGCGCAACAAAAATGACTTGAAGACAATTTACGAGTTGTTTTGCGATAAGACGACCCAGTAAATGACACAGTAACCAGTTCGTTGTGCTGCGTCTGCAGATGCACACAAACGCAACAAAAGATCTGCATGAAAAGATATGGTCTTGATAGCTCAACCCTCAACATCCCAGTATAACCAACGGGTAAAACTTTTCCAAGCTTTCCCTAAGAGATCGCTGAACAATGGCGATGTCAAGGAAAGAAGCAAAAAGACGAGCCGCTTGGTCCCCGGGGACATCCGTCGACAATTTTGAGTGACGAGGACAATGAGGTGAGAATGAGGTGACGGTGATGACCTCAGAAAGAAAATCATTGAAAACCCGTTTCAAATATCCCTGTCTGGAAAACATGAGAATAGTAGGACTGCAATCCGCTAGCGCGACTCGCGAAAACTTTTTGCGCGACTTCTGCCAAAATCCCGAGAAAGTTACGTCCTATTTGTGACTTTTTCAAGTATCATAAAAGACGTGAAGCTGAATTGGATGATGATTTATTTTTGATTCTGCATTTACAAAAATCTCAATTATAGAACTACGATTGTTGTCCAGCAAAAATATGCACGACAATAATGCTATGACGCGACTCGCGGAAACATTCTGCGCAGCTTTCGCCAAAATTTCGAAAATTTTGTACAGTAATAGTGGTACAGATTAAATCACTGTTCCCAGAAATTGTAATAGTAAAAAGAAAGTTTAGAAACAAATGCAAGATTGACAAGATTTAAGGTGGTGAGAAGGAGGGGGGAGGGGTAAAGTAGGAGGAAAGGGAATCAAATTTTCAAAAATAAATTTTTCAGAGCAACACAGAGCTCTACAACGGCTGTTAGGCTGACTCTGAACATCTTCCATACAATTTTTTTGGCTCCACTCACAATTCTTCTGCTACTGCAATTTATCAAAAGTTTTTATGAAGGGAAAGAAAATCTTCAAAGAAATTTTTTCAGCGGATGCCCATAAGCGATCACAGAACGAACGACAGCGTTACCGAAACAATAGATAAGACAGACGCATTGATTTATTGTCAAATTGCTCTTCCGGAAGTAGATTGAAAAAATTTATAGCGCAAGTTCGGCTCGCGGGAACGGAAAATCATGTGAGGGTGATTTGGAAAAAGCAAACACTTTCGCAGGAAAAAAATTATCTTTGCAGGTCTCTTAATACCTTTTATAAGATTTATAGTATCAAAAAAATTGTTAACAGAAGCTAACTTTGAGCTTCCAAAACAGCAAAAAAAGTCCCTCAAAAATTTATATATGGAAATGATAGAACAAAGTGTTGAAAACTTCAGAAGATAAGCTGTGGAACATGCACGCTAAGGGACAATGTTTTAGTCGCGACAGTTTATTGTTGTACAAATCCGAGAGGAAAAAACTATAAACAAGCACCAGACCATTTTTTGCAAATTTCGAAAAAACAAAATCTAGCTCGGTATTTCTCTAAAGTTTTTCTTTTTTTCTGATACAGTAAATCTTGAGAAAAATTCACTTGAAAATAATTTTTTTCTGTCAAAATCTAAAAAATTCAGTTTCAACGCAGGTAATGCACAAGTTGCGCTTGTCTTTGCAAGCCGTCTGCGTCTCCTCTCTCCACGTGCTCTCTCTTCGACTCAAGAGCACGTAGCCGCGTCGCAAGCAGCGAAAGCGGTACGTGCAATTACACTCGATAACATGTTATATCTTGGGAAAAACCTGTTGAAACAGGTTAAAATGAAGATTTACCATTTTTGTTAGCTAGTATGGTCATTTCTATGTCCACATGTCCGCAATGATGTCGATATCTATCGTAGTCGCTATTCTAACGTGTGGTACGTCTATCAACTACTCAGCATGGTCCGAACTAAGGAAGTCGGAAATTTTAGGTGCAGCTGAACTTTGTCAGATACGCAATGCGAATGACTAACAAACGCAAAAGTTTGTACGGAATTGGAGCTCTACGCCAATGATGAAGTCATGAAAAGTCCGCTACTATTTGATGTGAGTTTGGCAGAAAAATTCCTAATTTGTGTGAAAAAGAAAGCATGGTTTTCCAGAAAATCAAAATGGCAACCACATATCGGCATTTCGAGTTAAATGGCACGGAGCTGGAAAAGATCAGTGAAGCAAGGGAAGTTCTGCTACCGAAAGGTGTGCAATATTGAGTATTTCTAAAGCCATGATTACAGATAGTTTCTAAAGGCTAGGCATACTTCACGCGATTTGGCAATATTCCAACTGTCTATATAACTCATCTATATAACTTCGGCCATACTTTGCCCGTGTTACCGGTGTTGAAAGTGTTGAACGTGTTGCCGGTGTTGAAAGTGTTGAATGTGGGAATCATCAGTCTTGCAGTTTCATTCTTCCTCGAACGATCTCACCGGCTGGTGAGTACGTCTGGGATGGAAATGGGAAATGAGAAATGAGACTGAAATGAAATAGGAAATGCTTTCGCAAAAGCTCCTCGAACGTACTTTTGGGAAAGTGAAGGACTTGTTCTGAATAGGCAATCTCCAACACTTGAGATGTAAGGTCTAATGAGAATGCGTGTTAGGTGTCGAATCCGGCGCTTCTGCGATTAGTGAGCAAAAGATCTATGGGAGGTCTCGCAGCGTTCTCAAATGTTGGAGATTGCTTCTTTTAAACAAGTCCTTCACTTTCTAAAAAATTTGTTCGAGGAGCTTTTGCGAAAGCATTTCCTATCTCATTTCAGTCTCATTTCTCATTTCCCATTTCTATTCCAGACGAACTCATTCTTCCTCAAACGATCTCACCAGCCGGTGAGATCGTTCGAGGAAGAATGAAACTGCAAGACTGATGATTCCCACGTTCAACACTTTCAACACCGGCAACACTTTCAACACCGGTAACACGGGCAAAGTATGGCCAAAGCCTAAGAAATTCAGGAACACTTTAGACTTGAAAAACTTTACTCTGAACCTTCTAGGTGCCACTGTGACAATATGGGACAATGCTAATCTTCAAGAATTGCCTAAATTCAATATCGTTGATGCTAATGACATCAAAATGTCAGTCATTGGAAATCCCAAATTAGATACGAGGCAGCTGCTTATGGAATGTGAGAAGAAGCGTTGCAGTCAGGATACGTTAAACAGCATTCAAGTACCATATTGTAAGTTCTGAGACGTTTAGAAGAGAAAGGGGCGGGCGGGGAGCCGTTTCCTGCAAAGAATAACTCTTTTTTTATAGCTTGCCGAGCCATTGCGCCATTGCCAACGAGCTGTCGTATCGTATTTGGCACAATTCCATTGCATTTACATCACTATTCATGGGGCACCATTGAAACCCTTTACGGGACAATTACCCTGGAGAATTCTCAGCTAAAACGAGCCCCAAAGCTTGAAATGCTCGAGCAGGTCATACAGCTAAAGAATACGCCGGTGCTGGTGGTGAAGAACAACTCAAAGCTGGAAGAGATCGACTCATTGCTCGATTTGAACTACGTCATCATCGACAACCAAACGAGTCCGGTACAGATTGAGGAAAACCCGAATCTGTGCATAGATGTGAACCATGTTGACAGTACGTTCGCGAAGCGATACATGAAAAATGTGGACCGATGCATGTATGGACATAAAATGGCAGAAGTTCCAGAAGATAGGAAAGCTCGAGGTTAATTTACAGTTTATGTTAATAGAGACTTCTGAGTTACTCAATTTCGTAGTTTTTTTATAGTTTTGATTTTTTAGTTAATAGCATTTTTTGATATTTATTTATAGCGATTAAAGAGCTCAGTGAAAGTTTAATTTAGCAGATTCGACGACCCATATGATGTTCTTGTACTGGCGATAACGTTTGCGCGTGAATACTGCTCATGGTGCGCAAAACTTGAAAATGCGCGCTCCATGCCCATTTTCACGCGCAAATGTTGTCGTCACCGCAACCGCACTGAAATGACTTTCATAGCCACTTGGCTATAAAATCAAATGAAAAGGTATAGGATTAACTATCAAATGTGTAAATCTGCACTTTGTAAGAATAAAACTGATGCTTTCGAGCAAGGAACTTTCATGAGTTTCTTGTGTAATGACGGCATCTACACCTTGCACTGCCTCCTTTTGGGATGCACGCTAGACTGAAGAAAGATTTTGAATCTCCGAAAGATCAGCTATAATTTTCTTTGTACTTAACCTCGAGTCATTTGCAACTTAATGTGTGAGATTGCACACTATACTCTATTAGCGACGGCACCCATACTTGTAACTTCCCAGTGAAACATTTTCTAGTCCAACAAAGTGTAGAAATGTGTACTACTGAATCATGTAACCAAAAACAAGAAAATAAGGAAAGAAGGAGAAAACACAGGAAATGAACATGTTCTAGTTTTGCAGTTCGTCAGCTAGCATGTAGAGTGTGCACTAGGCATATTAAGTTACAGATGACTCGACGATAGGTTGCGGTAGACCTTGAAGAGAAATTTTAACGCTGTATGTGAAAGTATAATCCTTTTGAATTAAACTTTTGATGTGAAGTAAAACCTTGCAAATTATGGGCGCTGAGGCAGCATACTCAAAGCGAGTTTTGTTCCAATTAAATTTTCAAAGAGAGGTCAAGAAGAGAATTTTACCTTATTCGCATGTTTATAATCAAGTTACAATATAACTTTTGCAACACAAACGGTATATTTTGAAAGTTATAGGCAATTCATCACACGCAGGGACAGAGCACCGCTGCGGAACTGTCTGCGTTTCCGAGATCAGATGCGCTTTCATTACTTGAACCGTCTGTTGTCTCTCGCAAAACGCACTGTCTCAGTCGGACGCAATGGCGCTCATTCTTTGCGCGCGATGAGTTGCCTATAGATCTTATTTACTGCAAATAATGATAAAGTTAGTGATCTAAAAATTTACAGAAATGCTTTTGGTTTTTAGAATTTTTTGACATTTACTTAAAAAGCTTTTATATTTATTCATCTGCAGGATTACAAGAAGGTGGTGTAGAATCATCTACCGTCCCTGAACATAAGGAATCACCAATAATAATAATAGACCCACCACTAGATCCACCACATGTGGAAACAGTGGAACCCGCCGGGAGTGCAGAATCAGGACCACCACCATCAGAACCACTAGAAGAGGAACCGACAGAGGCAGCCCCAGCATCGAAGCTTGGAACAGATGTGGGAGATAGGAACGCCGAAATGACCACGGTAGATCAAAATATGACAGCGATATTAGGAAATGAGGTTTGGAGAGTGGAATCAAATGAATCACTTGGAACGACGGAATCTGTAACAACATCGAAAAAAGCAGGTGGTCTAAAAGGATTTCTCGAGAAAATTCTACCAAAATCAGGAAACCAAGCGACATACCTTTTCCCTAGTATTTTCCTGCTGTCTATTGGAATTGTGTAGAATTCTGAAAATAAATATTTGCTTTCTCAACGCACGCTAGTTTAGCAGAAATACACAAATACACATTCCCCTCCTTACATGAAAGCAAGCTAATCGCCCTTGAAAGCTTTTCAAAAGTACATTTTGAAAGGCTGCTGCCTACGACGCAAAAATGCGGCCGTTTTTTTCCGCAGACATAGTGGCGCGCATTTTTGCCCACCACACACAAAGTGCAATTAGGGGAAGGGGAGAGGGCGGGTGAATCCCCAATCCATTCATGAATATTTCTAGAAGAGGCTGCAAGCCTTGATGGAATCTAATGAGATGCGTATTTTACGCGAAAAGCAGTACAGATTGTTTTTGTGCAATTGCACGCAACACACTAGATCAGCAAAGTCAACGGCAGACATATATATAGAATTTTTTTGGCTTCACTTAGCAATGACTTAGCATCACTTCAAAATACACAACTAAACAATGCCAAAATTATTCTCAACAAAGCGATAATGGCCCAAAAATTACTTTAAACAATATTCATAGAATTTTTCGAAAGTTTTGACAGTGATATAATGCTTGGGTTGCAGACAACAAGTGTGCGTAAAGGGCCGGGCATACTTCACGCGATTTCAGTCGCGACGCGATTGTTCCGCCCTCTTCATATCCAACACTGGCAAACTTCACATGCATAGCATGTATAAATTACGTGAGTTGATAAAATGCCCCATCTTCTGTACATTCAATATTTGCTTACAATGAGTTATGGACAGTTGGAATATTGCCAAATCGCGTCGCGACTGAAATCGCTTGGAGTACGCCCGGCCCTTAAGTGATGACATGCGTACTACTGCCATTTTACGCGCGACTCACAAGCAAGTCGTTGGCACAAGTACATAATTTGTTCCCGCGCAAATGTTGTCTTTATCGCAGACGCGCTATATTGAGAGTCCTGTCCACTAGCTTATTGAGCATCTGGGATCAGTGGGAGAAATCAAAATTCATTGTTGAAGCGGTAGAAGACAAAACTAAGATATTCAAAACACTTGGAGTGTAGAATAATGAAATATTGAGTATTTTTTGAAAAATGTGAAAAATAAGATATTAAATATTCGACATGAAAAGTGTAGAAAAATAAAATCTCAAAGATTCAACAGAAATTATGGATAAAAAAACATATCACTGGAATCCGCGACGGACTTTCTTAGAAGGTCCGGTTACGGATCCAAAACCTAATCTACTCAAGTTCAACAATTCAGCTCTTTACCAAAACTCACCAACCAGAATTCTCCACGAAATCAAAAATGACAACAAATTTAACAAGAACCAAAAAATAAAGCTCAAATCGAGCCAAACAGCAGTAGAAAGGCTTTATAAGATTTGAGTGTATGTTATGGAGATAAAAGTAAAAGTCATTTTAAATTTTTAGATTTTCGCAAATAATTTTGCAGTGGATTTTCATACAAATAATATCTGTACTTCTAAAAAATCAAAAAAATTGTTACAATCCAGAGAATTCAATCAAATTAATCGTCAAAAAAGAATGGCACACACCTCCCCAAAGGGCAGACACATTATAAAAGCTCACGATTCGACTGCAACAAATGCGCATTACACTTTACATTACTACTTTATAAAGTAAAAGGCTGTGGTTCCAGTGAATCGGAAACGAGCAAGAAAATTTTCTTCAGTAGAAAAAGTAGTGGAAGTAGTCGAGTAGCAACGGAGTGCACACGCGGCTTGCATCGGGTGCAGCAGCTTGTTGACGCATGAATAACTACACTTCTTTAGCCTAAAGAACTAGTACTAGGGCAGTGGAGGAAGCAATTTGTGAGTGTCATTACGATGAGCAAGCACTATAAAACAAGATTCTCTTTCAAACGACTGAAAAACAAACTAATTCTCTGGAAAATTCCGATAGAATGGCGCTAGATGAGTCATTCACAGTCCATTATCTGTTATGAATATCAAAACAACACCTATAACATGGCAGAGAACACACAGATTTCATATGACTAATAAAATTGTACATTTGTAGAAAAAATGATACAGGTAGGCTTTTGCAGGCCGTCTGCCAAATGATAATGTGTAGCTAGATGGCATTATACCAGCAGCAAGCGAGCAATTGGGCGGCGGAAAGCAGATGATAACAGAATGAAACCTATAACAAAATCTGAGAACACACAGATTCTATATAACGAAGAAAATTGCGTATTTGTAGAAAAACTTGGTACTTAAGGGCTTTTGCTAATCGCCTGCCACTTGCTCGTCTGCAGCTGGCATAATGACATGTCATAACGCCAGCTACACATGAACGATTGGCTGGCGGCCAGCAGATAAGCTTTATACAAAGAGGCATAATTTCAAGTTCAATAGAAAATCGTGTATTTATGAAAAAAATCCGTATAAGTAAGTTTTTGAACCGCCTGCCAGTTACTCGAGTGCAGCTGATGTTATGACACTGATTATACCAGCTGCAAGCGAGCAATTGGCAGGCGGCCAGCAATTTGCTCAAAAACGCAAGATTTCAAATTCAATTAAGAAATTTGTGTATTTATTGTGAAAAAAACTTCGTATGCCTAGGTTTTTCTAACCGGCTGCCACTTGCTCGTGCGTAGCCGGCGTTATGACACTTATTACACTAGCAGAAAAAGAGAAATCGGCAAGCGGCCAGCAGATGGGCTTTGCGCAAAAAATGCATTTCTAGTTCATGAGAATTTCGTGTTTTTGTTTAGAAAAACTCAACTAGGTTTTTGAATCCGCCTGCCAACTGCTCGCGAGTAGCTGGCGTTATGACATGTCATTAAGACAGCTGCAAGCGAGCAATTAGCAGGCGAAACTAATACGAGTCTTGTACAAGTAACGCATAAATTTAAAGAAAGTAAGTATTGGGAAAGAGTTTGAGCAATTAGGCATTAGTGTCAAAAAAATCGTTGGCGTTGTTAGCATACCAGCTGCAAAACGAGCAATCAATTGGCAAACGGCCAGCAAAAGCCTACTTGCTCGTACAAACTCTTGAGCAAACATTGTACATATGATAAGCAAAAGAACAGCAAGAGATGGAGGGGGGGGGGGGTAAGAGGAGGGGGAGACGACAACGAGTCGCCATCGTCCGCACGGTACGAGTCGTAAAAAATGAGGACATGTCGGTTAGAACGACCTTGGCAGATACGGCGAGGTTATGTAAATTATGCTTGAAAAGAAGGATTTATGAAGAATTTATAAAAATATAAGAATTTGGAAGAATATGACACAAATAAGCACTTATTTTGAAACGGAACTTTCTAAGCTATTGAACAGTTTCTACGTAGTGCCTTTGCGGTGTTGGCAGCTTTTGGGCGTAATAAATTGCTGGCCTGTAATGCCGCCAATTTGAGCGCCAAATTGGCTATAAAGCGGAGATTTTCAAATTTTTACGCCTCACTATTTGTTCTCGCATGAGGAGTATTCCGATATTTCGTTATATCTACTAGAAAACCGTTCATGAGTATTTTTTCCTGCTCCCCCCCCCCCCCCTTTGCTTCCATTTTTTCATTACGTGGTCTTTATGAAAATTTAGCGTCATTATCAGCTTTTTGTTTGTTGATGTATAGGTTCAAAGTACTTATTATTTTAGCCCTCTAGCTCATCCTCCCCCCCCCCCCCGCCCACCCATTCTACTATTACGTTTCATCCACACCATTTTATGTATTCCAAACACACAAAAAAATTGCAAACTGCAGAAAACCTTCCAATTTGTACGTTTTCTTCTTTTAACTCGAAAAAAAATTCTTTGCTCAAGGACAATTTTTGAGCAAAAAACCTCAAAACCGGGTGGTAATGGTGATTGTTTGATTTTTTTATACCAGTGAAAAAAAGCCCATTCTACATTTGAGTGGTTAGCAACTTACTTGATAATCGAATTAGGTAATACAATACTGTGAAAGAATTAACATTTGTGCGAGAAATCCTTGCAAGTGTGCAAGTAGGGAAAAAAATAATTTAATTAGGTATACAGCACTATTGAAGAATTTAACATTTGTGCAAAAATTCTTGCAAAGTGTGCAATTACGAAAAAATGTTTTTTTCTCTTATTTGTTGTCGTTTTATGAATCTTGCCCTAATCTGGTTTTGTTATATTGAAGGGTACCTTGTGGCGTACAAAATAAATAAATAAATAAGTAAATAAATAAAGTGTGCAATTACAGAAAAATTAAATAAGGGATGATGATTACTACTGCGCTCCTCGAATGATTTCGGGGTGGCGAAAGAAGCTCATATGCAAATATTTACGGTCGGAGAATATTGATATGGCAATTGTTTGTGGCTTGTACTAGGTCGAATCTTCCCTCCCCCCCCCCCCCCTCCTACTGCTTTCATAGGACCCAGAAAATTGATAAAGAAGCTCAAAAAACATTTTCATTCGAATTTCTCCTTAGATAAGGCCCAGGCACCGCCAGCTGAGACAGTGAAAAGCGCAAGCACTTTGTCTGAAAAGCCTTCTATGGATGACTCAACACACCTCAACTCGCGTAGAAAAAGCTTCGCTCGGCTTTTTCTCATCACTTTTCACAGAGCCATAAAGTTCTCGTACGTTATTCCTATCATCAAATCGGTTTGTGGTCGTGTTTCGAGACATTTGAATGCTAAAAGCAGCCGCGACGAGTTTCCGAGAGTAAATAAAACTATCTCGATGAATGGGAACAAAAGGTGATGAAAAGATTGTATGATTGTGACAAAGACAGTTTAGCAAAAAGAAAATTGCGCATGACATTTTCTAAAGCGTAAGCATAAGCAATTCATCGCACGCAGAGAATGGAAATCGTTGCGTCTAATCAAGATAGTCCGTGTTTGTAAGATACACTAGACGGTTGGAGAAATGAGAGTGCGTTAAGTCTAAGAGACGCAGATGGCGGCCTCAACATGTTTTAATGCTTTAGTGTGATTGCCAGACTCCAAAAAAGCCAAATCGATGAATGGAAGCAAAAGGTGATGAAAAGATTGCGATTACAAAAAGAAATTGACAATTCAAAAGAAAATCGCGCATT